GGAGTTCACTAATCCCGCTGAATCCACTATAAGGTCAACAAACATTCTAGGAATGATATGGGACAGACAAAAAGATACTCTTTCCATAAATATTCCTGATGTTAATGAAACAAAGAATGAAGTGATCATCACAAAGCGAAATATTTTATCAGCTTCACACAAAGTTTTTGATCCCATAGGGATAACCAGTTCAGTGATGATGCGTCCAAAACTTTTGTTACAAAATTTGTGGAAGTCTAAAATTGGTTGGGACGCTGAAGTTGATCAAAAAACGGGCGAAGAATTTCTAAGATGGTTAAATGAGCTTGAATGTTTGAAGAATGTGAAGGTAGCAAGATGGTTGCACTGCGATAAGGGAGTTGAAAATATTTCACTTCATTTTTTTTGTGATGCAAGCAAGTATGCCTATTCGGCAGTAGTCTTTCTGCGAGTTTGTTATATGACTAATGTTTATGTACAGCTGGTACAAAGTAAAACAAGAATTGCCCCTTGTGGGAAAAAAGAGACAACAATTGCAAGATTAGAACTTCTTGGTGCCACAATATCTGCTCGTCTATCCCCTGAGGTACGAAAAGAGTTTAAAACCCACAATGTGTATTTTTGGACAGACTCCACCACAGTGTTAGCTTGGTTGAAAAGAGAAGAAACGTGGGGTGTATTCGTACAGAACCGTGTTCAAGAAATTAGGAAACTGACACCAGTTCATGCATGGAGACATGTATGTTCAGCTAAGCAATTGTGCCAGTCAAAATGGTGGGAGGGTCCCTGTTGGTTGTACCTTCCATCCCGTGAATGGCCAACTAACGACTCAGAGGAAGATGTCAATGAAGAAGAAGTGATTAGAAAAAAAAGAAGAACGATCGTATCTTCAATTGTAAATATTGAAGTTACAGAAATATGGAGCGATCATTTTTCCTCTTACAGTAGAAACATCAGAGTGGTGTCATGGATTCTTCGTTTCATACATAACACATCACATGAAAATAAATTAAAAGGTAACTTGAGCTACGAAGAATTCAAAGAAGCAGAAACTCAAG